CAAGGACAGCACGGGGGACATATTTGCCACCTAAAACGACATGAAATTAAATTCTTAATTAAAATATTAATATTTGGTCAGAAGATAAAAATTCAATATAATACATCAAATGTGTTGGATGGCCATTTTACTATATATGCGTTTTGCTGTACGACTCTTTTATTTCTTTCCGTTTAACCAGACAATAATCCTTCTCTAGCTTTAAATGAAAATGCTATAAATATGCCTTCTTAAAAGGTCCACATTAATAACAGTGCAATAGCATTGCATTGCGTATGAATGAAATGACAACAAAGAACAGTACGGAAAAGTAAACAAGTACCTTACACATTACCTCGACTGATTTACAATGCACCCATAGTTATTCTATACGGGTATTTATCGCTACCCAGTCATCCGTTTAATTTCTTTTGACAATTGAAGTACTTTCAGGCCTTAGCAACCAATGCTACTTCAATGTTATTTCCGACTTGGAAACATAACAAGATTCTCGGTCCTAAGTTTCAGGACACGATAACTGTGAACTTATGCAATTTAATTGAAGAAAACACCGAAAAAAGTTCGAAGCCAACTACAGCTTATTAACTTACTACAACGGCTAATCGTTTACCCCCAAAACCTGTAATTCTTCTAAACTAAAATTAAGTAAACAACGAAGTCCCATTTTTAAAAGCCACTGGCCTGACTTGCACTGGTGACCAACGGGAAAATCCACCCACCTTTTTTTTAATAATCATGGAATAGTGAGAGTCATGATCATATACTTAAGAAATAAATTCTTTATTTATGTGTAACATCTGCTACTTACCAGTGGCTTCATTGTAGTAGACGTTGATTCTCTCCAACTGAAGATCAGAATCACCGTGGTATGTGCCAGTTGGGTCAATTCCGTGTTCATCAGAGATCACCTCCCAGAACTAGAAGAATAAATTATCAATGCATTATAATAATGTCACTCCATAATATATTATTTAAAATATTGTTGGGTACAAATACTCTGCAGATGCAGAATTACGAGCATTTCAATACATATAATTATAAATAACCTGAATTTACGTCCAGTAATTCTTAACATGTTTATTTTATTAAAACCTACAGCAGTTTACACTTTCAGTGTTGACCAGCTCATTATATCCTGAGTAAAAAATATAAGTATACACTTTTATTTAAAATTATTTCAAATATAAAAATCAAAGTATTGTCAATTAAAAAAGTTAAACATCAAACGAACCCGACCCCTGTAAAGAGCAAAAGTTTAAAATAATGATACTTAACTAATATAAAACTGTTAACAATTAACACCAAATTACAGTAAAATGTTTTAATTACCTTGGCACCAATCTGGTTGCCGCACTGGCCGGCTTGCATGTGAACAATTTCCCTCATGTTGGCGGTTGTTGCAAGAAAATGCTAGAAAATGTCGATATCTGTTTAGCTAGGTGGCTTAAAGTGTTGGCAACACTGTTTACGTGGTTGCTACGCCGTTGCTAGACGAGTAATCCTAACATTAGCCTACAGGGGGTAAATAGGCAAGAGGGCGCTGATATAATTATTGAACAAGACGAGACCAATAATTCACAATGTCAAATGTCTCACACGGGGTCTGGTCTAACCAAATTGGTGTGTGTGTGTGTGTGTGTTTGTGTGTGTGTGTGTGTGTGTGTGTGTGTGTGTGCACGCTCACGTGGGGGGGGGGCTTGAATTAGCTATTTATTGAATTTTGTGATGTCATTATAAGGTGTTTGACTATTTTGATTTGAATTCAATCCCATTCATTAGTAAGGAAATCAATGACATTGTAATTAAACAGACCATATATGAATATATATATATTACATGTACCTTATCAGTATATTAAATGCTCAAAAATCTGCTGTATAATGATCATATTATCAAAGAAGGCATTGACTTGGACATGATGGATTATTTTCTTTGCTATTGGCAATCTTTGATTTCTTTATTGAAAATGGCCACCCTGCAACCCATTGCATATTAACTGGTAGTATTTCTCATTAGATCTCTGCAATTTATAATTCTGTAATCCATACCGTTATCAGTTACACCTGTTTTGAATTTTGTAACATGTTGTCATCTCTTTTTTAATTTCTCTTTTTAAATTTATTTTTGAGTCAAATAGTTGTCAATTTTCTTTAAAGTGTTTATCGTATTTTATTGAATTATTAATGTCAGCTGAATACATTGTATTTTCTACATTATGTATTGTAAGTCTATGATTGCAAGAGAAAGAATCCTGTTTTGTACATTATAATAATTAATAATAAGCACATGACATAAGTGTGTTTAAAAGAGAATTTATTGCCTCATAATGAAATTACTATTGCTTTTTTGCACAGGTTTGACCAAAGTCTTCCAATAAAAATAGTATGTATCCAGAGTAAAAAACAAATTTTCATTGAAACACAAAATTCAAATGGTAAAATGAATTGTTCTTATTTCTCACAATATCCAGTATGCCAAATATATTTGTTAATTTAATTTCAAGTTAGAATTATGCAAAGTTCAAAGTTTTGGAAGAGTTATTTATAAGGTTTCAGAAAAAGTCATCATGTTCTTTTCATCATTATCTTTTTTATGGTTCATTAGATCTCATTCTTCCTTATCAATGCATTTATGCTTCCTCTCCCTCCTCCTCTTCATCAAATTCACCCTCTTCCTCAGCAGTGGCATCCTGGTACTGCTGGTATTCAGACACCAGATCATTCATGTTGGACTCGGCCTCAGTGAATTCCATCTCATCCATACCCTCACCAGTGTACCAATGCAAGAAAGCCTTACGACGGAACATAGCGGTGAACTGCTCGGAGATACGCTTGAACAGCTCCTGGATGGCGGTGCTGTTTCCAACGAAGGTGGCAGACATCTTGAGACCACGTGGTGGGATGTCACAGACAGCGGTCTTCACGTTGTTGGGGATCCATTCAACGAAGTAGCTGCTGTTCTTGTTCTGCACATTCAACATCTGCTCATCAACCTCCTTCATGGACATGCGGCCACGGAACATGGCAGCAACGGTCAGGTAGCGGCCATGGCGAGGATCGCAGGCAGCCATCATGTTTTTGGCATCAAACATCTGCTGGGTCAGCTCTGGGACAGTCAGAGCACGGTACTGCTGGCTACCACGGGAGGTCAGAGGAGCAAAGCCAGGCATGAAGAAGTGGAGACGTGGGAATGGAACCATGTTGACAGCCAATTTACGGAGATCAGAGTTCAGCTGGCCAGGGAAACGGAGGCAAGTGGTGACACCAGACATGGTGGCAGACACAAGATGATTCAAGTCACCATATGTGGGTGTGGTCAGCTTCAGGGTACGGAAGCAGATGTCGTAAAGAGCTTCATTGTCAATGCAGTAAGTTTCGTCAGTGTTCTCAACAAGCTGATGTACAGAGAGGGTGGCGTTGTATGGTTCTACTACTGTGTCAGATACCTGAAGAAAAGGATAATTACATACATCAATATTTTTGGTCATGTGATAGGTATAGCAATTTTATTTGTCACATAATAAAAAATTAACTAATGTGAAATGGATACGTAGAGAGAAAGGAAAATCATTACAATGAAAAATTGATCACCCTGAAGTTGTTTCATTATGCAGGTTCATGTTTTTTAATTTATCTATCTATAATTTATCTATTTTTAATTTTTATTAATCTATTTATTAAATTTACCTTGGGTGATGGGACAACTGAGAATGTGTTCATGATTCTGTCTGGGTACTCTTCACGGATCTTGCTGATCAGCAGAGTTCCCATGCCAGACCCAGTGCCGCCACCAAGGGAGTGTGTCAGTTGGAATCCCTGAAGACAATCACAGCTCTCAGCTTCTTTGCGGACTACATCAAGCACAGAGTCGACGAGCTCAGCACCTTCTGTGTAGTGGCCCTTGGCCCAGTTATTTCCTGCACCACTCTGTCCAAAGACAAAGTTGTCTGGTCTGAAGATCTGTCCAAAAGGTCCAGATCTGACAGAGTCCATGGTGCCGGGCTCGAGATCAACAAGGACAGCACGGGGGACATATTTGCCACCTAAAGTTAAAAATAAAAAATAAATGAAATTAAATAGACTTGCCTTTCACACATTTTATAAGTCCAAAAGAAAAATACAGTAATCTACAATTTCAACATTTGCTATAATGTCAACTTAAGGGTATCATTTGCTCATATATACTATTACATAATAGAAACAATTGACAAAGAAAGTTAATTTTAAATATTTCTCTATGTATATCGTATCTACTTACCAGTGGCTTCATTGTAGTAGACGTTGATTCTCTCCAACTGAAGATCAGAATCACCGTGGTATGTGCCAGTTGGGTCAATTCCGTGTTCATCAGAGATCACTTCCCAGAACTAAAAATACACGTAATTATTATCATCAATAAAAATATTTTAATATAATGCCAATTTTTAATATCATTAAAAAGTAGACAAAAAACGTTGATTCAGGAATACTGGAAGATCCAAGAATTAAAGTAAATATCTAAAATTTTCTCTATACCTTTCAACATATTTCGCCTTAAAATTTCGTCGTAATATTTAACAACATTTAATAGAAGTTTACTATTAAACACCATTTAATTAAATATCCCCATTTTACACAGGTTGGACTTTGCTAAAGGTAGGAGAAGTTTAAACAAGTTCCTTTAAATTCATGACAAACCCGCCATTCGAAAAGGGCGCATATTTGAATTAAGTAACGAGCAACTGAAAACCTAACTTAAAAACTACTTAACGCTTACAACATTAACAAAGTTAATGTTTGAATTACCTTGGCACCGATCTGATTGCCGCACTGGCCGGCTTGCATGTGAACAATTTCCCTCATGTTGGCGGTTGTTGCAAGAAAATGCTAGAAAATGCCGCTTACTCTTTGCTTGCCTGTTTTTAAGTGCCGGCAACACTGTTTACTTGGTTGCTAGACGCGCGAACCATGAGAACAAAACACTTAATTATGACGACAGAGGAAAGGAATGCACCGGTAGAG